TCCTCATCTCACCTACTATGCAGAGATAGCACATCCGCCCGCGCGTTGAAGCACCTCGTCGCCGTGGCTTCGCCGAATGTGACGGTGGAGAGTTGCCTCGACTCCTGTGCGGCGGGTGGATATATACTCGGCGGAGTCGAGTTTGGAGACGAATGCTGTGTGTGCTCGAGCCATCATTTTCTGCTTTCGCGCTGAATAACTCCAGACTGCGGAAACGCGCTGCTGTATGCATACGGCGCATCACAGGCGTGCGACAAGCTGTGCTCTGGGAACGCCTCCGAGTTTTGCGGCGGCCCCAAGGCGCTCAATCTATACCAGTTCGCCGACACGCCCTTCACTACGGGGCCGGCATCCCTTGTATTCGAGTATAAACGCTGGCAATGGTGGGGCTGCATGGAGTGGGTGATCCATGCTTTCTGAGTGAACTTACCAGTGATCCCCATTCGCAGCGAGCTCTTTCCCTTGGGCCCACGTCTACTGCCCCACGGGCCACTAGCACCGATTCCCGGAGAGCAAATGACAGTGGAACGATGCCTCGACGGATGCGAGGCGGCTGGATACAATGCAGCGGGCTTAGAAGCCGGCCAGGTGACTCCTCCCACTTGCGCAACAAACGATTCACTGATCTAGATCTTCCACAGGAATGCTGTACGTGTATTCCGTGCTTCTCGCGGTCCGATTTTGTTGACCGCTGAGCGTCAGATTGCGACTTCGTGGAGAAGGGCGGCCCGGGGGCGCAGCCTCTGGGATGGGAATCCACTAACAATTTTGAATGCGCCGACCCTTGTCTAGCAAATGCTACTGAAATCTGTGGCGGCTTAGTCCCGCACTCCTCCGCGACCACCGAAGGCAGACTGACCGCATATCTGACCTGCGACTACTTCGATAGGTGTTGAGTACAGCGACACATGTACGATTGCCAGCATTGAAGTAGTTTCGCGATGGAATTGTAGTAAACTCGGAGAGGTCAAATTCGAATATTCCTACTCCAGCTCCCGTTGCGCCCAGCAGAGATGCAATTCTTATGCCGGAGTACAGTTTCTCTTCGAATCTAGAGTCCTAGTTTTGACTCACGATCGTGGGCCTCTTCTGGCGAACAACAAATAAGTGGCTCCTCAAGGTGCTCGTCCATCTAGTCTTCTTTTGTGCAGGGGAGTTTGCGGTGCAGGTAGAATGCCGATACACTGCCTAGATGCCGATCTGATAGGGCGTACAGGTGTCGAAGCGGGTGTTTCCGGCATGACACGCCGAGAATCGGAGGAGATTGCCGGTAATCGGCTTGGGGACAGATTCTAGTTATGACCCTTCGGATGCCGTACGACTTGCAAGCAGGACTATTTACCGAGACCGAGTAGAAGTGCTACCCGCCGTTTGTGCGCGGCTCTTTTTCCTTCCCTTTCGATTTCTGGCTTTGATTACGGCAGGTTACCATCATTCGCAAAAGTTATGACGCGAGGTGTACACAGCCTTACCTTTCCCCTTCTCACAGGATCCAGCCTTCAGTCTTAGGGCGACGCGTGAAGAGAAGACTTTGCGATGACTGTACCTACAGAACGAGACCCCTTGCTCGTCAATGGCGCTGACAGAGAGACTGCCCAACCTGCCGTCAAGCGCCTGGGGCCGCTGGAGATCTCAGCGGCGAATAGACACGGAATTTTAGCCGGAATCTGGCTGGGGACGTTCCTGGCGGTGCGTGCATTCTTCGGTCATTTTCTGGGGCTCATTTCAACCAACAGTCGTTGAATCGTGAGACACTAACAGCTCAATTGCTTGGCATTAGGATCCTCACATTATTTCCTCAGAATCTCTCGTTCCTACAAGTAATGGAGCTTCCGTTGTCCATCTAAATGCGCGGCTTACGCGTCTCAAGTGATGCCCTCAATCTCCTCCGAGTTTCAAGCCTTCAACCAGGCAAGTTGGTTGGGCACTGCGTGCGTACGGCCGTGTTTTGGTGGTCTGAGTCGTCTGACTTGCGTGAAGATATCTTTTAGCTACCTGCACTTTCACTCCATTATACGGCCGTCTGTGCAATGTAATGGGCCGCCGTGGCGCCAACAATACCGCCATGGTGTTCGCTGCACTTGGAACCATTGGATGCGGACTTTCCGGAAATATGGAGATGCTCATCCTCGCCCGATTCGTGCGCTTTCCATCCCTCCTTGCCTCAGTGATCTCATTACTTTCTAGATCGCGGGCATTGGTGGAGGCGGCCTCAACACCACGTCAACGTATAGAACTACACTTTGTGCAAGTTCCGCACTTACTCGATTCTAGGATCATAGTCAGCGACATGTATACCCTGCGTGTCCGTGCTTTTCTTCACGTTTTGTCATCACTAAGCTGTGTATACAGGATCGTGGCCTCGTCCAGGGGCTCGCAAGCTGTTTTAATGGCGTTCGTCTTTCATTTGTTATTCAACTGAGCCTAACATCAAGGACAGTTGGGTATGGGCCTGGGTGGACCGTTCGGCGGACTCATTACAGACTTGTTTGTTTTTCTATCCTGGCCCTTCTCGTTCTAAATCTTTGCCAATAGGTTCGGCTGGCGCGCCGCCTTCCTACTCCAGATTCCCCTTTTCGTCCTCGCATTCATTCTCACGTCATATAATATCCGCTATGTCACGCCCGTGAGTGCTAGTTCCATTGCGAGACCCACTAATGCTTAGCTTTGATGCCCAGGGGAAATCTAAGAGTCGCAAAGATGTCCTCAAGCGCATCGATTACCTGGGGAGTTTAACACTTCTGATCTCCATCGGCTCCCTCCTTTTGTTCCTTAGTACACGCTACAACGAGAGTCTTCCAGTACGTTGTTCTCCTTCCCGACCAAGTGGTGTATTCAACATTTTGTTTTACAGTGGTCCGACACTCGTGTCATCGTTCCGCTCGTGCTCGGGACCGTCTTCTTCGTGCTTTTCCTCGTCGTAGAAATATATGTTGCGCCCGAGCCCGTAATGGCACCGTTCCTCCTGCAGCAGAGAATTCCAGTCCTCATCTCTGCGTCCAATTTCCTCGTCTCGGCGTGCAACTTTTCTGTCACGTATTTCTTCCCGATGTGGTTCCAGGTGGTGACGCTGGAGAGTGCCTCAACGGCTGGTGCGCCCGTCCACTCACTCCCTTACCACCAATCTAATTCCTACCGTCTAGGCCTTCACCTAATGCCTAACAGCATCTCTATGTCCACCGGTGCTGTGTTCGCGGGATGGATGATGCATCGCACGGGTCGATACAAAAAAATCAACCTCATATTCGGGATCTTCCCTTTCGTTGGAGCTGTGCTAATCTCTCTCATGCGCGAGGACTCAGGCCCCATCCAGTCTTGGCTGAGCATTGTGCGTTTGATGTTCCTCCTCATGCTTGAGATTTTGAACTGGCATTATCTTAGATACCACTTGGATTTGGGAATGCCGTTGTGCTGCAGACCATGCTCAGTCAGTGCTTTTCTACAAAGTAACTAGCATTACTGATGATGGAAATGGCATTTAGTCGCTCTCCTCGCTCATCTACCAGAGTCACACATGGCTGTTGGTACTGGATTCGGGCAGCTTTTCCGTGGAATCGGTTCGCGACTATTTCGTCGCTGTTGACGCCGACTTCTTACTTTGTCATGTGAAGGTCAAGTTGGTGGCGTTGCCATCTCGTCCGCGATTTTCCAGTCCCGTCTCGACACTGAGCTGCGGGAGCGCATCCACACCCCGGATGCCGAGGAGGTGGGATGCTCCAAAACAAATGCCACTATTAGGACTGACTCTGCACCCCGCTAGCTCATTCTCAAAATCCGCCGCTCGAGCGAGGTCATCCGGACGTTGGAGCCCGAGCAGCAGCAAGCGGCTCGTGACTCGTATGCTCTTGGACTGAAGGCGGTATACATCTTTGCCGCCTGTTCAACGTTCTTGGCGTACCTCGTCCGCCTTCCCGTGCGTTTGCTCCACTCGATTTGAACTGTGCTTACGCGGAATAGATCCCTGATCAAGACTTGGACCAGGCGCACGCCCGGCGTCGACGGGCACCTTCTCAAGGACAAAATGTGTTGTCTCCCGGTGTTACCCCTGTCGCGAGCTCGAGCCTGAGTTCCACACCACCCGAGTCTGGGTCGGCCACAGAAACGGAAATTGAAGAGGATGAGGCTGAGGCGCGTCCGCGTCCGCGTCCCATCACGGCGCGCCCTCCGCGAAGACGTCTATCGACGTATCAGTCGGCGGACGGATTTATGGACTTGGAGAACGACCGCACCGGAGGGTCTGCGAGGCCGAAGAGTAATAGCATTTAATAGTCGCAGAGATATTAGACGGTCCGCATAGAGAGGCGCGCGCCCCAAAGCGCGATCCGCAACATTTTGCCCTTTCATCTACATTTAAATATAACAAGAGACGGAGCCGGTGTCCATAGAGTGGGAATGCCTACGCAAGTAAGCAATATCTCGGAGCGATTTTTGTGTTCAAACCTAATTAGCAGTTTCCAAGAACGGCAGCTTGATTTGGTTAATGCGGTCGGGTGTGTAGCCAGATTAACAACAGAGTTGGTATTGGCCTGGTGGTGGAAGGTTCGCGTCTGCTGTCCTTATATCATTTTGATGCATCATGCAGAACGAGCCTGTTCGATTCGGGTCCAAGCCATTTGATTTGAGATGTAATGGACTGCTTTTTTTTGTGCTTGCAAGTTGAATCCGACTCGAACCCCTAAGAAATTTGCTCAACCAAGGACACTCGGTTGCAACAGGAGTAAGGCTTGGTAGATGGTCCACACTGTATGACTTCTGGTGTGACAAAAAAGGTTAAGTAGAAGATGCTCGTTCGAGTCGATTGTATGCCGCAACCATCTTTTTTCTTTAGTCGGGGAGTCGGAGGAGTTGTTTTTCTACACATCAAGGAGTGGCCACTGCCATGAAACCAAGTTATCTTTTCGAGCGAGTGTGGTGTTCAAAGAGTCGAGTGCAAGAAGGGCGGGTCGTCTCCTCCGTCTGAAAATTTGGTATGCAGCCAGGTCATGAACAGAGTTAGTATCGGCTTGGTGGTGGATGGTCCACGTCTGCTGTCCTTGGGGGAGCATAAAAGTGTCTCATACAGATGCAGAAGGAACCCGTTCGATTCGGGTCCAAGCCATTTGATTTGAGATGCAATGAACTTGTTTTTTATGCTTGCAAGTTGAATTCGACTCACACTCATCAGAAATTGTGCACCCAAGGACCCTCGGCTCTACAGAGGAGTAAGGCTTGGTGGCAAAAGGTCCACATCTGTCTGACTTCTGATGTCCCAAAAGAGGTTAAGCAGAAGATGCTCGTTCAAATTGAGCCCGAGCCATTTGAAAGCCTGCAATTCACTTTTTGTTTAGTCGCAGAGTCGAAGGAGTTGTTTTTCTACACATCAAGGAGTGGCCGCTGCCGTGAAACCAAGCAATCTCATCAAGAGAGGGTGATGGTCAAAGAGTAGGGTGCAAGAAGGGCAGGTTGATTTGTTGTCTTATGTGTCCAAAATTGGGTATGTAGCCAGGATAAGAGCAGTGTGGATATCGGCATGGTGGTGGATGGTCCACGTCTGTTCCAGTTATAGGATGACCCAATTTCATTAGGCAGAAGGAACCCGTTCGATTTGGGTCTGAGCCATGTCCCCCCAAGATTCTATGAACTGCTTTTTTATGCTCGCAAGTTGAATTCAACTCAAACCCCTAAGAAATTTGCTCACCTACAGACCCTCGGTTGAAAGGGGAGTAAGGCTTGGTGGTGGATGGTCCACATCTGTATGATTTGAGAGTACCGGAGGAAGGTTACACAGAAGACGCTCGTTCGAGGCGAGTCCCAGCCATTTGAATGCCTGCAATTCACTTTTTTTTTTAGTTGCAGAGTCAGAAGAGTTGTTTCTCTACACATCAAGGAGTGGCTGCTGCCATGAAACCAAGTATACCTTTGAGCGAGTGTGAAATCGAAAGAGTAGAGTGCAAGATGAGCAGTTTGATTTGTTGTCTTACCTGTCTGAAAATTTGGTGTGTAGCCAGGTTAAGAGCAGAGCTAGTATCGGCTTGGTGGTGGATGGTCCACGTCTGTTGTCTTTCGGTTGTTTTGATGCTTGCATGCAGAAGGAACCCGTTCAATTCGGGTCCAAGCCATTTCAGTTCGCGATATGTGATTTTGTTTTTATGCTTGCAAGTTGAATTTGACTCACACTCATCAGAAATTTGTGCACCTGATGAGCTCGGTTGCAAGAGGAGTAAGGCTTTGTGGTGGATGGTCCACACTGTATGACTCTGAAGTGCCCGAAAGTAACATTACACAGAAGACGCTCGTTCGAATCGAGCCTGAGCCGTTCGGTAGTTCCCGGATCCCGCGTCTTTTTGGTCGCAGAAGGGATAACTTGAAGTTGGTTTCCCCGGCACACCTTAGATTGGAATGCCACTCACTTCAGAAATATGTTGCAGCAATTTTTGTGTTCAAACCTATTGTTGTTGTACTCACCAGAACGGCACCTTGATAGTTAATGCGTCCAAAAGTTGGGTGTGTAGCCAGGTAGAGAACAGAGCTGGTATCGGCTCGGTGGTGGATAGTCCATGTCTGTTGTCCTTCAGCTGTTTTGATGCTTCATGCAGCAGGAACCCGTTCGGGTCCAAGCCATTTGATTTGGGATGCAATAGGGACATTCACAGTTGCCATTTTTCCGCCCTTTTTCGCTCCCTTTTTTCTCCCTTTTTCGCATATCTTTGTTTTCCACCCAGTTTTTCCTTCCTTTTCAATTCAGTGGGGTAAAAAGGGTCTAAAAGGGAAAAAAACAAACTTTGTACTACTACTTGAAGTTTGTAGCTATAAAACTGACCAAATACAAGAGAGGTACAAGTCCAAAGAGGGCCAGAAAAAGGGCAACTGTGAAACCCCCCGACGGTGCTCCCTTTTTCCGGCCCCTTTTGCTGCCTTTTGCTTGAAGGTACATGGTTTGCATTCCAGGAGGCTTGTATACCATGGTGGATATCTTGTAGACTCGGAACTACACCTATCATGTAGCTAATTGGGATGTTGAAAATTCAAAGAGGCAGCGAAAAAGGGAGTGAAAAGGCCTAGGGGAGTGAAACAGGGCCGGAAAAAGGGAACCGTGAATGACCCTAATGAATTTGTTTTTTTATGCTTGCAGGCCGAATCCGACTCGAACCCCTAAGAAATTTACTCACCTAGGAGTCTCAGTTACATAGATGAATAAGGCTTGGTGGCGGATGCTCCACGTTGAATAGATTGATGGGCTTCCCTAGAAAGGAGGTTACACAGCAGATGCTCGTTTGAATTGAGTCCCAGCCATTTGTAGGCTGCGACCATTTTTTTTTCAGCCGCAGAGTCGGAGGAGATGGTTTTCTACACATCAAGGAGTGGCCACTGCCACTCCTATGAAACCAAATTATCTCATCGAGCAAGTGTAGTGTTCAAAGAGTAGAGTGCAAGAATGGCAGGTTGCTTTGGTCAACATTGTCTCATGCGTTCCGAAAATTAGGTGTATAGCCAGGTTGAGAACACAGCTGGCATCGGCTTGGTGGTGGAAGGCCCACGTCTGCTCTGCTTGCCGGTGATCACTGTGAGTTAGGCAGAAGGAACTCGTTCAATTCGGGTCCAAGCCACTTTTTCGCGATCGGTGATTTTGTTTTTTATGCTTACAGGCCAAATTCAACTCAAACCCCTAAGAAATTTGTTCACCTAAGAGTAACGTTACACAGAAGATGCTCGTTCGAGTTGAGCCCGAGTCATTTGTATGACGCAACCATCTTTTTTCCTTAGTCGGGGAGTCGGAGGAGTTGTTTTTCCACACGTCAAAGAGTGGCCGCTGCCGTGAAACCAAGTATACCTTGAGCGAGTGTGAAATCGAAAGAGTAGAGTGCAAGATGAGCAGTTTGATTTGTTGTCTTACCTGTATGAAAATTCGGTATGCAGCCAGGTTGAGAACAGAGTGAATATCGGCTCGGTGGTGGATGGCCCACGTCAGTTGTCCCTATACCATTTTGATACCTCATGCAGAAGGAACCTGTTCGATTCGGGTCTGAGCCATAATGGTTCCTAGATCCTACTTTTTTTTTGCACTTCACACTGGGTTTCAAACCCATCCGGGATTTGCTCAGCTCAGGAACTCGGTTGCAGGAGGAGTAAGGCTCGGTGGTGGATGTTCCATGTCTCAATAGATTTATGTGCTTCGTTAAAAAGGAGGTTACACAGAAGATGCTCGTTCGAGTCGAGCCTGAGCCATTCAAAGCTAGGGTAGGCCGTGTTTTTTGGAAGTAGAGTAGTTGATTTTGCTGTCCACCTTAGATTGTGAATGCCTACCTACATAAGCAATATGTCCACCTGCTAATACCGTAAAAGTATCTAAGTTAGACCTGTTTTGTCCCCCCTAAGATAGGTCTAAGTTAGATACCCTAGGGCCAAAAAGCCACCGTGGATTACGGCGGGTAGACAGGGTAGACAAGGGTAGACAGGGAGAAGACAATGAGGGCCAAGGAGGCTATAAGTCTACCATTGGGGTAGCTATTTGGAGTATCGGAGACACCAGCGGTAGCTAACGGCTGTGGGGTGGACGTATTGCTCCTGCGGGAGACAAAATGGGTGATTTTGGGGGTGGAGGAGACACTATGGGGTAGCTAACCGCTGTGGGGGGGACATACTCCTCCTATGGGAGACAAATTGGGTGATTTCCGGGGTGGAGGAGACACTATGGGGTAGCTAACTACTGTGGAGGGGACATACTCCTCCTATGGGAGACGAAGTGGGTGATTGCGGGGGTGGAGGAGACACTAGCAGTAGCTAACCGCTGTGGGGTGGACGTATTCTGCCTATGGGAGACAAAATGGTTGATTTCAGGGGTGGAGGAGACACTAGTGGTAGCTAACTGCTGTGGGGTAGACGTATTCCTCCTATGGTAGACAAAATGGTTGACTTTGGGGGTGGAGGAGACCAGACCTTGTGAGAGACATCAACACTGAGTATCCAAGTGGTTGTGTCCATGGCACATATCATATCATAGGGGGGTGTCCATGGCAAGTGCTTGCAGTACAGTCCATCATGTATTGTAAGCTGTATAAAAGAAAGCAAATAAGAAGAAGTTGCACATTGATCATGGTTGTCCATATTGGGTTGGTTTCAGTCATTGCCTGTATTGGGGTGCTATAGCCACCCCTGTTGGACTGTAATTGATGCCTGGTTGCTTTCAATGCCAATATTGGTTGAAAAAGAGCTGACTCTGGGAAAGTATTTTGCATTTTGCGGCCCAGCTGGGGCACTGGTTAAAAGATGATATGAACGACTCTTGTAGCCCTCAATGAGCTCTACAAGATGGGTATCGGGATCAAGGGTTTACGCATGACTTTCCTTTTTGGGACACTACCGCTTCTCATCCCAAAAAGGAAACTTTCGCTCCCTAGCCCATAATTGAACCTTTTTGGATGTTCTAACTGGGTATTGATGTTATTACAGGTGCCTTGCAGCCAACTGGAGCACAGTAGAGCCTATTATGGTCCAATAAGAGGGTGAAAATGGCAAGAGTTGATCAATTATATTATGGCCACAATACCTTGGGGATATGCCAATGAAGATGGTTTTTAAATGTGTCCACTTGTTCACCTAGGTTGCAAGGACACCCTCCAGGTCATATATCAGATCCTGGTGATGAAGAACATCACAATTTGGCCATGCAAGGAAATCGCACTTTGTCCCTATTATGCACTCCTCCATGATGTAATATATCCCAAAACATACCTTTAGGGACTGGTTCATGTATTTGCATTGGAAAAGTGAGAAATTATCACCTAGGGAAGCCTATACCTCATGGTTTGAGGTGATTTTGTTTTAGATTCCTGTTCACCAGTTGAAATAAAGCATAATCTAAAGTAATTACACTGTCTGATTTCATTCCCATTGTTTATTCGCCACAATATGGTCTTCTTGGTGCCCTATATCTGAAATAAGCAAAATATGTTATTTTTCATTTTCGACTTTTACATCATGTGTTGGCCAGCCTTTTGGCTTAAAACTGTTCATATAGCTCAGGAGAGTTAGTAGGAACCTTCAGAGCATGATCTATGGCCCTGTGGCATGGTGAATATGGTGAACAGAAATCTAAAACAAAATCACCTCAAACCATGA